AATCGAATAAAAAGTTTATCCGACTTTTTTTTTTAAAACATGCGCATTTTCAAAATGTATGACTATTATGGCGTTTCCATCAACTGATATTAATGCGCTTATCCAAAACGCTCATTAAAATAGGTGGATGGAAACAGCTTGAGATGGAGAACTCAGTTTATTCAAATAAAATGGGCTCTCAGGCAGCAAATGTGGACTGAATGGGTATCTCTTCTTCTGTGTGTTATCATACTTGAACAGAACAACAACAAAAACACAAAACTGAAAAGTACCAAAGTGGGATTGTGCTCACCGTGTCCGGCGGTCCGAGGTTTTGCTGCAGATGTGCTGAGCAGGGACGTTTCTCCACTTTTTGGCCTCCACCACCATTGCCTCCGCATCCACCAAACCAAAGCCATAGAGATGACTGACTACACACACACAAACACAAATACACACGCAAACACACACAGAATGAACACTGCCATCACAAATAATCTAAGCTGAATATCTAGACTGAAATACGACTTCCTTTATTCATTCACAATGTTTAATTACATTTACAGCGTGACTAATTTAAGGTTTTGATGTTGATGTTGACGTCAGTGCAGATACTGAATATTGCTGAAATTATTACAAGTAATTAACTGCACAGAGCACATGAGATCAACCATTTTCAATGATAAAATCTAATTTTTGTTCTTGATTTTATCATAAATGTTGACAGTTTTATGACATCTATGATTATACATATACAAGGAAAGAAAGAAATGTAATATTAGGTGGAAATAAGTGTAATATTCATTAAGATATTTTCTCTAAAATTAAGCCCAACGGGAAAAAAAATAAAAATATTAACATATTAAAAACTCTAGACTGTCTGACAAAAGTCTTGTCACCTATCCAAGTTTTGGATCATTGGATCTAGTTGATCACTTGGTATCAGAAGTGGCTCATATGAAAGGCAAAGGCCTCTAGATTACGCTTTTTTGACCAAAATAAAACATGATCATGCCTTGATTTCTAATTATTTAATTAGGACATTAAAGTCTGACTTTGCTCAGACAAAAGTCGTGTCACTTAACAGAAATAATGTCCAGTATAGAATATAAAGTCATGCTGCAGTGGAAACTGAATGAATATTGTGTCTGACTCCATCATGAGCTTGGAGGACTGCATCCATACATCTCTGCAATGACTCAAATCTATTTAATAAAGTCATCTGGAATGGCAAAGAAAGCGTTCTTGCAGGACTCCCAGAGCTCATCAAGATTTTTTGGATTCATCTTCAATACCTCCTTCTTCATCTTACCCCACCATGCTCAATAATGTTCATGTCTGGTGACTGGGCTGGCCAATCCTGGAGCACCTTGACCTTCTTTGCTTTCAGGAACTTTGATGTGGAGGCTGAAGTATGAGAAGGAGCGCTATCCTGCTGGAGAATTTGCCCTCTCCTGTGGTTTGTAATGTAATGAGCAGCTCAAATGTCTTGATACCTCAGGCATTTAATGTTGTCGTACACTCTACAGACCTCTCGCACGCCCCCATACTGAATGTAACCCCAAACCATGATTTTTCCTTCACCAAACTTGACTGACTTCTGTGAAAATCTTGGGTCCATGTGGGTTCCAGTTGGTCTTCTGCAGTATTTGTGATGATTGGGATGCAGCTCAACAGATGATTCATCAGGATATTCATCAAGTGACCTTCTGCCACTTTTCCAAATGATCAACTAGAAGTCAAGTTATTATCTGTTGCTCTTACAACTGACATCCATGACCAGACTTTTGTCAGGGAGTGTATTTAAGTATCAAAAGGCAGCCAAAAAATACTCATCAATTGTCATTTAAAACTTTTATACTTGTACCTTTCTAACTCCTGTGTTGTACCCATTTGTCACGATAAGTTTTTAGTAACTAAATACAAATGCAGTATCATTACTTATTCTTTGACATATTTTTAAAATGTACAGTTCAGAATGAAAACGTTTCATGTTTACATTAATAAAATCTGTAACACTAAAAAGACATAAAAAAGAAGACAAAGGAAAAAAAATGCTATTTAACTAATTTCTCTCAAACAACCAACAACACTGATTGATGATGTATTTATTAAAAAGAGTAATAATAAAAATAAAGTTTTTAGTCCTCCTGTGAAATTGGAATAACATTTTCAACACTTATTTTAGTTGTTTTTTCACATTTTTATAAGGATAGGATAGTGCAGGTCAGACAGGAAAGCACTGGGAGCAGAGGGAGGGTAAGGATCAACATAGGACCTTAAATCGGGAATCGAACTTGGGTCG